TTACCGCTGATGATGATGGTTCTCAGGAAACCCGAAGGACGGCAGACGAGGGGCGATTTGCAGGGGCGCCGAGACGGCTGGCAGCGGCGGTCGGTGGCCGAACGAGGGTGTAGGCACTGCTGCGGCCCTTCCTGCACAGGTAATAGCCCATCCTTGGGAACGCCGCCCTGCGTGGAGTCGACCCAGAATCCTCCGAGTCGAGGTGCTCCATGCGGTACGCGGTAAGGCGGTCTGTTGGGGAACTCACTGCGCCATGGGGGAGAGGACTGGAAGACCCTCCACCACCCGCAACCGAGGGTCCCGCGGACGCCAAAGGGTCCCGGGGCAGGAGCGGGGCAGGTAGGTGAGCTTCCAGTAGGGCGTGGAGGGCAGCCAAAGCTGACAAATGTTGATCTTGGGACTGCACCAAATTCTTTTACAAAGCCACGATTTTGGCGTCCATCCGGGCCTCCATTTCCTCCATTTTCGCTCCTGTGATCATAAACCAGAAGTTGAAGATTATGTTGGCTCTAATAGCAGTTGATACGATCCCCGTTCGTATCCTGGTGTTTGTATTTCTTCTTCAGAAGAGCAGTTTCCGAATCCAACCAGACAAAAGACTTCCGCAGATGAAGAAAAACCTCAAATGAAAGAGGGAGAGGAGAGGTAGAGAAAGGAGACAATCTTCAGGAATCTCCTCGGGAAGGGGGCACCGACAGGGATCCTACTTCCTATGACAGGGATCATAGAATGAGAACTTAGAGAGAGAGAGAGAGAGTGAGAGAGCGCCGATAGAAAGGACGAGAGAGTTCTTACTTCTGATTTTCTGCCCCTTGGGGACGGCTCCACGGTTGAATTTAAAGGAGGCTCTAACTGGGGCTGATGGGTCCTGATGGGTCTTAGCCTCTCTTCTTCCTTGTTCTGATATAGGCCCTTATTGGGCCTGTATCACAATTCTATGATCAGTAGATTAGGGCAGAAGCTAGGGTTCGACTCACCGAGTGTACTCCATGACCACCGCTGCTGTCAGTACGCCCCACTTTAAATAGACTCCCTGATCCATCACAGATGGGGGTTGACCTAATAGAAGAGAGATAGCCCCACCGTCGGTGCGCGCACTACTCTCCTCGGATCGTCTGCTCCAACCTTCTTCACCCTTCCGCCAGCCCAACCTCCGCCGCCGGGACCTTCTCCATAGCTCGGCTAAAGAACGCGAACCAGGAACAGGTCGTGATCCCTATCTTCTCCGCGAAACTCATCTCCATCGACAGCTCCATTGAGACGTCGGAGGAATGATCGGCGCAGCGGTGTGGACTCCGAGAGAGGGTTTAATGGGGAACATGAGACTCTCCTCGAGGTACAAGAAAAGGCAGTACTCTCAGTACGGTGGGAGCTCGTCCGCATGTTGGCAGCCACGAAACAGCTGCACGCATGGATGATTCCAGAGGAAAACACCAGCGCGAGTTTCCTACCCGCAGCACTTGTACCTTGCGAGTTGACTCGCTGGAGCATGCACCGACGAGTGGCAGCTTTCTTGGCCCTGGGGATTCGGACTCGGCAAACGATCCAGAACAGGTAGAACATTCAGAACATTTGCTCAATGGTCAGCTGGCGGATTAGCCGATCCAATTTAGCGCCGAGCTATAGTCCACCTTGGTTACTACTGTTGCTAGTGCAGGAAACCAGCGACATGAGTGGGGAGGACCAGAATTGGAGTTTCATCCTCCGCTGGTTCTGACTGCCACCAATGGGCTGACATGTGTGGTCGCTGAGTCATAGGGGGCCTTCCGGCAGCTGGGTTACGCTTGCTGCGAACCCAGGGGCATAATCCCGCTCATTGGGCCAGGTAGTACCCCTGGACCCACCACCAGCAGCCACATAACCGGTCAAATTGCTGACGTGGGCTATGACCTGATGGGCCTCTCATTTGCCCCCAACAAGGTCGGACTTCCACCTGACGGCAGGAAATAGATCTAGCAAGTGCAATATGGGCCCATTCTTTTCCAAGGTCTGCGCTCAGCTAGGGCCAAAAGAATTCCCAAAGGGGCTGAGGATCAGACCCTTCTCAAACTTGGGCGAGTATGAGATAATCACATGGAAAAAAAAATATGCTCAAGTTTTCGGGCCTATGTTTAGTCATAGACAAATATTTTGACTATTTCACAAAAAATTGACCCGAGCCAAGTAGGGCGTTGACCTTGACCGATCCATTGCCCCCATCTTCTCCCTCATATTTTCTTTCATACTTGTTTACGTAACCAGATACATAACAATATATCGTACCGACCCAAGTCAACATAACTAAGCACACAACTGCCTCTAATATCTGACCGCGTCGTCATAAGATTGATGCGTGCTAATAAATTACTTGTCCAACTAATTAATATACGTTCATGACGCAATAGAGTGGGTACGTGTACGAATAAATGATCTGCATATTGGTGGAGAGGCCGCCCACCATACATATTCTCATGGCATCCACCTAACTAATAGCATACCCATAAACTTCTACATTACAATAATGGAAACGGTTTAGTCATTTTAAAACCAGGGTGAGGACAAGACCCGCCCACCTACCCATTCTTCAAATCTTGCAAGAACAGGGAGGAGATTTCTCCTCGTCTTGTTTGATTCACGTAAGAAGATCGTGAACGGACGGAGAGCTTGTTCTGCACGTGGAGTGAGCTCCATGTCCTGGGCCTTCGCTTTCAGACTTCCAAACCATGGCGAGCCGTTCGGTGAGGCTGTCGCAGTCTTCATCGCCATTCTTTCCGTGCTGTTCGGACAGCAAGCCCTTCAGCCACTCCCCTCTCTCTCGTCCCTCCTCTCTCTCTCTCTCTCTCTCTCTCTCTCTCTCTCTCGTCTCTCAGATTTTAGATCCGTGGTAGATTACGCTTTACTTAAAGGAGATACGCTACCCTGTACACAGGAAGATCTTCTCTTGGGGGGCCTTTATAACTCCCTGCGAGAGAAGAAGAGCAGGCAACCAGGATGTGATAAGCGGTGAAGAAAGGTTCCCCGAGAGGTGCGAAGGAAAGACGGATCGGGTCCCCCAGACGGGGAAAATAGGGATCCGATAAGCGAGGGGACGCTTCCGCCGACATTCTCGGGGCCCCACTATCTCCTCCGTGGAATCGATTACGTTGTCGCCATGCTCAGTTAACGGATCCCCCGGACGGCCCAGATGAGCGCGGAGAGGCTGCCCACTATCGGTTCAGAGTGGATCCCGTATCGGATCACACCAGCGAGTGAGTCGCATCCTTCCCCCATCGAGGAGGGTTTGAGGATATACCTGTACGGAACCGCCCGCGGCGCTTTCGGTGGTGGCGGTCAATAGTCGCTTAAGCTATACTGGCGGGGCGGTGACCACAAGCCCACTAAACGCCACCTCCGCCGCCACCCGCTTTCTGGACCGCACCCGGCAGTGGGCGCCGCCGTGCAGACCGCGTTCAAACAAAACAGAAATCCATCATCGTTCCGGATCCACCACCTCTTCCCGGATCGTCTAAAATCCACGTGGGACCCATCGGATTCTGTGACGTCGCTGTCGCGTCCACGCGCGGTCCACTCAGCGGGGCGGGCGGCGGCTCCGGGAGAAAATAATTAAAATAGAGATATCTCTTAAAATACGTGAATCGTTCGATCCACTGCGCCTCGTGCGAGGTTCGATCCCGTCGTCCGATCCGCAGGGTCCACCGTCCGAAGAATGGGCCTCCAAGTCGGTTCGCCGACCCTTCTTGCTGACGTCATTCTCGAACTTTCTTCTTCTTCAAATCAGAATCTCGCACGTGCGGAACAGTGGCAACTGGACGCGTGGCGACTGACTTGGCTGGACCAGACTCCGTTCCCAGGTCCTCTCTCCTCTGCTCGCAACGTCACCACCCTCCGAGGTCCCCCACCGGCGAGCAGCACTAGAAGACTCCGCCGCCGCCGCGGCGCCGGCGGCTGCCGCCTGATCGGTCCCCCTCACAGACATTCCCCCGTCGCAACAGTGACACGCCGTCTTCTGTCCCTCTCTCTCTTTCTCTCTCTAGAGATGTTTGAAATGAACGGAAACCCAGGACGGGGAGGGCGGCAATACAGAGGTCAGGGACGGTGGTGGGAATCAAGGACGTAGACTAGAGCTCCGCCGGCCGCCGGAGACTGGTAATCCAGGGACAAAATTTTATGCAGATAAAGGGAAGGACAGTGCCTGCCACCTGTGTCAGCCTTTCTCAGGGGCGCCCCCCCTGCCACCCCCACCCACACACCACCCTCCTCCTCCTCTGCCGCTCTCTCTCTCTCTCTCTCTCTCTCTCTCTCTGTCTTTCTCCTCTGTCAAAAGATTGAACGGAGACCGAGAGGGTAGCAGGCGAGGGGAATATAAAACAGCTGAGATTAGGAGAGCTCCGCCGTATTAAATTGGGGACGGAGGGGGCAGTTCTTCCGGTGGCCTCGAGGGCGAACAGCCCTAATGATGGGCGGGGCGGATAATACAGACCGCCACCGCTAGTGCGCCCGCGACCGGCGCGGAAGCCGACAAGGGCAGCAACCCCGCCGTAATAATAGGCCCCGCCGCCCTCCTCCGCCGGAGCAGCCCTAGGAACAGGGTAAGGTCCCTCCGGTGGATCCCCCTCCCCCACACGCTGCTGGGCTTCTTTCTTATCGTGGCACAGAGGGTAGTTAGTCCCTCACGGAGGCGGCTGCCATTGGAGAGGTCTGGCAGAGAGGAAGAGGGACTGCGCTGGACTCTGCTTCTGCCATTCTCTCTCTCTCATCCATGGTCGCCCCACTCGCTTCCGTCCTCTGTCCATCCCTGTTTTGCCCCTACTGGAGGGAATGATGATGGCGGTCTGCGAGGTTGGAGCTTCTGGCTTCGTTTAGATCTTCCCCGGGTTCTCTGCTCGGCCGCACCATAGCGGCCATTATATCCACCCCGTCCCCCGCATCCCCCCTACTGTGTGTCGCCTCTGAAATTTCCGGTACATTTTAGCTCTCTGCTTCTCAGGTTCTCCCTTTCTCTTCTCTCTTCCGGTGGTAAAATGGCTCGCCGGCTAATGTTGGAGGGGGAGAGGTCGGAGCCGGCGAGGAAGAGGAGCGGGTGGCTGCCCACGAAGCAGGCCCGCAGGGGATCTTGCCGGGGAAGCTAATCCCGTCGATCCAGATATCGCCGCCGGGAGAATGCCCGGTTCTCGCCGTTGACAGTGTCCCAGTTGCGTTCCAGGAGCAGGTTTCCGATCAGAAGGCCCTCTTCGCATTTTCCCCGGCGGCGCTCTCCCTCTCCTGTGACATGAGGCTTCTGCTCAGAGAAACTCTCCGGCGGCTCTGCGCCGAGATCGGTTGGTCTTACGCGGTCTTCTGGCACACGATTCGCTGCGGGAACTCGAGGTGAGCCCAGTCCAGTCCAGAGCTCCATACACATTCTCTCCCTCGTTCTCGATTTCGTTCTGTAATTTCCTGAAGTGGGTTCCTTCGTACTAGCCGGGGATTCCTGGCGGAATGTCTACCGGAGGGTTCCCCTCGCTCAATCTCCTGTCATCCCGTAGGCCTAAAGAAAAAATAAAAATCTTTCGATAAGAATGGAGAGGACGATCCCAACTCTCAAGCATCATTCCCCTTGGTCTCTGAAACAACGACAGCTTCTAATTCCACCGTTTCCTTCTATAGAAATCTTTCGTCGACTGCCTATGGCGGGGAGCTGAGCTATCTTGAGTTTCTTCCGCAGGCATTTGGTCTGGTTGGAAGGCCATTACGAGCCGGCGAGGGCTTCCACTGTTCCAGACATCGTCAAGGAATGGGATGCGTTCCAGACCACCGGCGACGGCGCCGATCCGCTGGCGGAGCTCGGGTGCCTGCCGGAGGACAAGATTGGAGACCTGGTAGAGAAGACAATGAGGTCCCAGGTCCACGTTCTGGGAGACGGGTGGGTAGTATCGCCTCTGAAAAAAGCTCCCAATTCATCCGTTCTCCGGCCGCCATCCTCCCGGTGGCTCCACCTCTGAAATAACGGGTATTCATGGCGCTTAATGTGGTTCAGGGTCGTCGGGCGCGCCGCCATTACTGGATGCCATCAATGGATCATTCGAGGTGGAGAAGGCTGCGAATCTGAGGTATAAACTTTTGTCTTTCTACACCGATCCGCTGAAAACCAGGGAACTTGACGAACTTTTTTGAAGTCTTTTAGTCGAATGATCATCAGAACACATGGAAATCAACCCATCAGACGATTTCACCCGATGAATTTCTCCCATCTTTCAGGTTTTGGGGGAGATGAACCATCAATTCTCGGCAGGAATCATGGTGAGGGGCTCTGTTCTTATTCTCTTCCCATTTCCCTTCCCCACAGGCTCTGTCCCGTGAAGCCTTCTGAGAACCTGTTCTTCCTGTGAATAAACAGACGACCGCTGTGATTCCCGTGCTCCCACACGGTGTGGTGCAACTCGGTTCGATCCAGACGGTAACATCTCTTCACATGCTTCGTACCCCCTGGAAGGAAGTGAAGAGGATCATGGATATGCTTCTCTAAGCATTCAGTCATATAAAATCGTCAGAATTTTTATGCAGGTGATTCGAACTATCTTATCGAACCCTATTTTTGTCATGCAGATTATGGAAAACCTGGCCTTCGTAGAGCATGTAAGGCGGTATTTTCTTCAAGTGGGGCGCCCGCCAAGGAACCTTCTGCCCGATGGAGATGAAAAGCCCCTGGATCATAAGAACAGAGAGTCCGCCCATGCCTTGCCCATCTCCCTCGATCGATTTGGAGCTGCTCGCAGCAACGTGCCCCGAGATCCAGTCTTCAACAATAGATTGGCTTCCATGGGTCCTTTCAGTAAGTTCTGTTATAAGTCCGGCCAATCATTACATGGGAATATGCAGCTGAAAGACAAGCCAGCCATGGCCATGGTTGGTGGCTCTGTTCGAGATCGCGATAACCCACCAGAAAGGCCTGCAATTCTATCCAACGAAGACATGAAGTTTCAGCAGGTGGAGTTGGGTGAATCGGGCTTTGGAAGGCAGCCTCAGCAGTCGCTCATTGGCTCGAGCTTGCGGTCCAGCAGCTTATCATATGCTGGTAAACAGCTCTTCCCCCACATCAGCGAACAGAGGTTTCCCCACAGTTCAGCTGCTTCGGGTGGCACCCGGTCCGTCCAGGTGGAGGCAGTCTCCAGCTCTCTACAGGATTCAACATCAATGCTCACCGTGGAAGAGGCATCTGCCAACGGGCATTTTCTTGGAATGATCGATCTGCTTCCCTGTGGCGACATGGGCACAGATGCCGCCGGAACTCAGAGCACGAGCCCGTATGAACTTGCAGCGGCTCATATGTTGACCAGTAGGAACATCTCTGGCGGCCGTCTTCCTCCGGCAGAGATCGTCTCTCAGGGCCCCATGGACAGAAACAGCAAAATTTTGCCCGCAGTGTCGATGCTGAATATGGGTAGTAATAGTTCCTCTCAATCACTCGAAAGCCCCTGCATCGATCCGAAGAGCAGATCTCTGAGCTCTGGGCTTCCCGCATATCACGTCCAGGAGTGTTGGGCCAGCGGTTCAGACCCAACTGCAGAAACCCGCGGAGCCAGGGATCCTGTTCTTGCTGCTGGTAGCAGCAGTTGTGCATCAAATGTGGAGCAGAAAGATAAAGACGGGCAGAGACTTGTGCAAGTGGGCATCCCGTGTTCTAGTGCTGATGATCTGTTTGACGTTTTGGGGGTAGATTTCAAAGCCAGGCACTGCTACGGGGGTTTGGATGCTCCCTCCTCCATAGCTCAGTTGGATGTGGACTCAGTCCTTGACGCTCTCCATGATGGGATTTCGAGTTGCAGCGGGATTTTCTCTGATACGGCGGGTCCTGATCAGCTGCTGGACGCCGTGGTCTCTAAGATCACTGCAGTGGCCAAGCAAGGCTCTGAAGAGGAATTTTGCTGCAGGAGTACGGTAACAAGGGCAAACAATTCGCTGATTGATGTGAGCTCGGGAGACTGTGGCCCGCCCTCTTTTCAACAGCGGATGCCGGGAGACCGTTTCAATCCTCCTCCCCCCGTTCTGAAATCGGAAGTGCCATCGAGCTGTCCTAAATCCGTAGGCAGTGCAGAGAGAACTGGCGACTGCTCTCAGACGGCTGCTGCGTATAAATCCCACATCAGTCTGTGGGTCGATGACGGCCAGAATACGAAGGTCGATGGCATTCCCTTGGCTCAGTGCACGAGGATGGACGAAGCCGGGAAATCTACCAGGAAAAGGCCCAGACCGGGAGATAGCCCGAGGCCAAGGCCCAAGGACAGGCAGATGATCCAGGACCGCGTTAAAGAACTGCGTGAGATCGTTCCGAATGGGGCGAAGGTGATGCTTCGCCTGTTGATTTATTTCCTCGTCTAATCAATTTTCTTTTTCGATCAAATATTTTATTTTTCTGCCAGGTACATTTTATTTTATTTTTGTTTAAAATCGTTTTCTGTCGAACAGTGTAGCATCGATGCTCTATTGGAACGAACGATCAAGCACATGCTTTTCCTGCAAAGCGTGACCAAGCATGCGGACATGTTGAGGGAAACTGGGGAGCCCAAGGTATCTCTACTGCGAAGGAAATTTTGTTCCAGTCGAGGGAAGCATGCGTTCTGATTTAATTAGAACGTTCGTGAGTTAAGACTAGATATTTTACTATCTCTTCCCTTTTATGGCATGGATCAGAGATCCATCTCTGGGAAATGTTTCAGTGGGTCATGATGTGGGTAGACGATTCCTCTGCTGCTGATGATTGGTGGCTCTGATATTGTAGATCATCAGTAAGGAAGGTGGCTTGCTTCTGAAGGACAACTTCGAGGGTGGGGCGACCTGGGCATTTGAAGTCGGCGCTCGATCACCAGTCTGCCCCATCATAGTCGAGGACTTGCATCCGCCCCGCCGACTGCTGGTGGAAGTGAGGATCGTTATGGGAAGGAAGGAAGCTGTACTTCCTTCTAGGATTCGTGAAAAAACTGTGTATAATCGTAAACTTTCTTTTCATTTTTTTGTTTCTCGCAGATGCTGTGCGAAGAGCGGGGGTTCTTCTTGGAGATAGCCGACCTCATCAGAGGGTTGGGATTGACCATCTTGAAAGGGGTGATGGAAGCTCGTAAAGATAAGGTTTGGGCAAGGTTTGCGGTGGAGGTACTGATTTAACTCACCCATCTGGCTTTCCGAATCGGTCGAGTCCCCCCTGCCGTGTTCTTCATGGATCATGCCGTAATTGCAGGCGAACAGGGACGTGACAAGGATGGACATATTCATGTCCCTCGTGCGCCTGCTGGAGCCGACTGCGGGGAGTAGCTCTCCAACTCAGGGCCTAGACAACGCAAACGTACCATGCAACGCGATCTGCCCGTCCTCAATCCCTGCAACTGGCATGGCTGACCGCCTTCAATGAGCAGCTCTGATTCGCTTCATCTTCTCCCCTTCTACATGGGAATACCCCGAGCAGGTGGAGAGTTCGCCTGCGATGACTGGCGTTCCGATTAGCTCCCTTGGTGAATGAGTATCTAACTGCCGCGGACGTTTTCCTGCCGAGAGGACGATCGATAAAGGGCTGACTTCAGACTTAGGATGATCGAACCAGTAAGATCTAAATCCCCGTCTCCCGGTACTCTTGGGTGCGGGGAGGAGGGATCGCTCTTGAGTGTTGGGGATGATGGGTACCGGTATTCATTGGACCTCTACAAGGGCGGTCTTTTTGGGCGTGTGATTACTTAATCAGGCTGTTGGGAGTGTTGCTTGCTCTAAATTTGTAAAGATGTGTGCATGGAATCAATGCTGATGCTTAATTTATTCATTGTTAGCTGCTGATCTTGCGAGCAGTCGGGGTGATCATAATAATTAAACTAATGATAATAACTTGATATGATTACATCTTGCTCGAACAGTAGACTGCGATCCCTTTGACTAGACTCGGCTGTAGGTTGCTATCTATAAATGCATGCCACCACAGGGAGGGGGGAAGAGAGAGAGAGGGGAGACCTTGCTGGATGCACTTTTGTTTCCTAGTTTGCCCTATCTATTGTCGTCTTCAATCATGCATCTATACGTGTCCATATGTAATGCGGCTGATATAAGAAAGCTGACAAGAGAACGAAGAAGACCCGTCATCCGACGGAGAAACGGTCCATAGATAAAAGAGGACACGGAAGATTAGGATCGAGCCGAAGAACCTAGCCAGGCTCAAATTCCAGAAAGAAGAAGAACATCATATAAGTATGCCTCCAACGGGAAAATTTTCAACAGCGTATAAAATGAACAAATTAAAATTAAAATGCTTGGCCTCCGGAATCTTTACCGCTTGTTCGTGAGTCGTTATCGTCCAGTGGGTATTCATTACCTTCTACGTCTCTTGTGAGTGCGAGAGACCTTCCAACAGCTCTTCATATCGGATTCCCAGGGACTCGGTTCTAGAGCCCAACCAGTTCGCTAGTTCTTCGTAAAGCGGAGTCATTACCCACTGGCGATCGAGTGGCACGAGAGAATATACGCGTGAGAACTTTCTGATCTCGTGATCTATCAATGTAAGCATAAAGGTCATATCACTCGGCGTGAATCCCCCCGGGCGTCGGTTGAGTTTGAGAGGAGCCCAGCTAAAGTGCACACAAGCTACAGGGAATTTTCTCCGCCGCGAATCTAAACGGTGACCCGGACGGACGATCCTTCCTTCGGTTTATCGATCCATAACCATGCGTTCCAAGTTGTCTCTTCCACGAACATGAGATTTTTTACTGACTTTCTCGTATTTGGTTGGTCTAGTCTAAGTTTCATTGTTTGAATAACAAACTAAAGACGCAAAAAATTGAGATAATGCCTTAAAATTACACTCAAAGATGCTACTGTATTCAAACTTAGACTGTGAGTCAAAAATCGATTCGGAACGCACCGTTTTGTTATCGTCGCCGAGATTGGATGAGGAGCTTCGCAGTGAGAACGAGCAAGAAGAGAGAGAGAAAGAGAGAGAGAGGCTGATTCGATCGATTCACAGTGATCTCGGGTACCCCGAAGACATCTTGCTTCCGTTCTTTGGTACGATCTCATCCATCTTATCATCCTAGTTGTATCCAGGCACCATACTCCCGAAGCCAGGCGATATGCGGCGATAACATGAAGAACGATCTTATATTATGATATGGTTTCTGTGCAGAAAGCCTCCTCGGATCAGAACCTAACATATACTTCCATTCCGCTTAAAACAGTAAGCGTGGCTCTCCATCATCAAGATATATGTCTCTCTCGGACGTGGGCAGATCTAGGCATTAACGGGTACCAGACGCGGTTTTCATTTCAAGATGGGCAAGTGCTCTCTCTCTCTCTCTCTCTCTCTCTCTCTCTCTCTCTCTCTCTCTCTCTCTCCCTCCCCTCTCCGAATAACATGCACAACGTCAAATCGTGGGAATCAACGTCTAAATCTGCTGTCGTAGTATAAATGTTCCTCGCCAGTATACACTTGTCATCGTAACCTATAGTTTCTTTACACTAAGCCTTCAAATTCCCCTCCCTCCCTCCCTTCCATACTAAGTGAAGGTAGCGGAGACGGGAGAGGCCTCCCCTTGGGGAGTTCCATATTTTCACCTCCCTTCCTTCCCCAGCCAATGACTATACAAACAGTAACCCTAACACACTTCCACCCGTGGAACATACCAGGTGGCGGGTCTGAGACATAACTAACGAATTTAATACGCAAACCAGTTCGTTCTCTCTAACTACCGGCGGCCTCATGTGACGAAGTCTGGCAGAAGCGGAGCAGCGAACCCCTTCCTGTTCTGCATGTTGATGTTCTCGAAGGCGTTGGAAGGATGAGTACCAGGTGCGTTGTTTCTCAGATTGCAGAAGTCACCAGTTTCGCCTCCGATCTCGAGCCTCCTCCCGAGGGGTATGCTTTCTGCGGATAGAAAGGACGGCTGAGTACCAGAGAGCGAGAGGCTCTCGCAGTGCGGGAGCCCTAGAGTGAGAGAGACTCCATTCCCGGAGAACCTTGGTGCGAATTGCTCTGGATCGAACCTCCCCAGATCCCCCATTGGGAAGGCCCCAAAGGAGTACCCACCGTCCTCCACACTTCGTCGGTTGACGGTGAAGAAGTCTCGGTTGGTTGCAATGGGCTTGAAGTCCATGCCCATATGCATGGCATGGGGAAGGCCGTTCATATGGAGGGAGGCCTCCTCAGCCCTCGCCTTCTTAAACTTCTCCAGCGTGAGGGAGCTGTCGTCGCCATAGGGTGCAGTCTCCTTCATTCGGATGATGCCCGCGAGGTCTGATGTGGGGATCATGGACGGGTTCAGCTTCGGGTTGGTGGAGTCGTCTTCCCTGGTTAGGAGACTATCCGCCTGCTTCTGCGTTCCGGAAGGGCTGCCCTCCATCGGACCGCCGGAATCCTCGTTCAGCTCCCGCTTGCTCGGTCTGTCGTCGCCGTTATTATGCTGGTGTTCTTGGTCCTTGGTCTCCTCCATGTACATCTCCTCCACCATGGGCTTCCAGAGCCGAACGCGTGCGTTAATAAACCAGTTTGATACCTGCAATCGACACAAATAATTAAGGATAATTTAACTCGTTCTGAAATGGCCTCTAGGTTTTATTAATATTTTTAGAATTGGGTGCATGTGAATCCGTAAGATTAGACAAAAATCCTAACATAACTATAGGTAATGATAGTCCGCTGAACAACCAATCGTCTAATTTAAAATCAATCGACAATAAATTGGGCAGATAAATGCATCCAGACAACGTGTCGTTGACTTTACAAGAAAAGGGGTGCGCTTCAAGCTGTTCAATCCAAAGTTAAATCGACAATAAATATAGGCCGTTCACATGGAACACAGTACCTGGCTCCTGGTGAGGCCTGTTTGCTTTGCGAGCATGAGTTTGTCTGTGTCCTTCGGGTATCTGCAATCCACGAAACAGGGTCAAACTAGAGACCAACCTATCGTGAGAAGAAATAATCAAACCCAGAGATGGAATCACTCCCGATTTCCCAAGAAAAACATGGTTTAAATCCATGAACAGATCGAATTGAATTGGACTGGATTGAATTGAATTGAATTGGATCGAATCGATGCTCACGGGTGTAGGAAGTGCTCGAATAGCCAAGCCCGGAGAACCGACACGGCCCGCTCGGGGAGTCCTCTTTGTGGCCTCCAGGCGTTGTGTTGCATCATGCCCAGCTGCTGGAGAGCCCTCTGCTGTCTGAGGTGATGGTCAACGAACCGAAGCCTGGAGCCTCCCTCGCTCTTTCCCCCTCCAATCTGGCCGTCCTCCTCTCCCAGACTCCTGCTCGTCGCCCTTATCTGCCCCGTGATGGCGTCTTTGAGGCACCGAAATTGCTTCGATATGGTTTGCAGGGCCAGGGATGTATACGTTCGCGCCGATCCGAATCCGGCCATTGCTTCGAAGGAGGAGACCACGATCTGCATCTGTTGATGATACTGTCTGTACCTCTGCTCCACCTGCATCCACCATGAGTAGACCATATAAGAAACAGAGTGATCAGTTCATGTTCCCAATGGTGATACTTTTCTGGGTGCGATCAGAGTCAACGGCCGATCGAAAACCCGGGTTCTTCGAATCTTATAGAAGAACTATGTCTAACATCGGCAGCCTTACCTCGTCGAGCATGCCAGCCAGCTTCGCCTTCTTCATCTGAAGTTCCTGTCTCTCCACGGTCGTTAGCTCAGCTGCGCGCTTCAAGCCAACCTCTTCCCCGGCCCCCTCGTCGGCGTCTCTATTGGCCTTCATCTGGTTCTTGGAAGCCTTCGGCGAATCATCTTTGACTCCTTTGCCGACGTTGACTACCTCATCTAGCAGCTGCTGTGCCGCCTTCAGGTACTTGGAGCCCATCAACATGCCTTGGAGACCCGGCATCCCGTTGATCACCTCCGAGGTTGACGACGGCGACACCAACATCTCGCGATCCTGCCGGTACTGCCCATAGCTTGCCTGTTGTGGTGAGAGGCTGAGAGAGAGGCCCTGTTGGGCCAGCGGAGCCATGGAAGGCCGCCGTATTTGCTGCGCCGCTGCGTCGATGCCGGAGTTGGTCGTCGGGTTCCACAGATTGTAGTGGACTCGCGGGAGAGAGCCGTGGACGGCGGAGATGTCGTGCGGCACAGAGATGGACATCGGTCGGCTGTGATCCACGGAGGATGAGGAGGCGGAGACCTGGTTCTGGAGGGGGATTCCGAGGAGCTGATGTTGATGAGCCGACTGTGAACCGGCGGAGACGCCGGCCTGGTTGAGGAGGAGCACGTTGCTGGTGGCAGATCCGTCGGAGGGGTAGCCGACATAGCCCGGATTCATGAGGTAAAGCGTCTGCAGCCCATCGGGTTGGATCTCTGGGGCACCGCCGTGGAAGAACGTCGCCATCGGCAAGGAATCTTCTATAACTTGGAATTATGGTATTCTGGGGAAGTCTTGGGGGAGGCCTGAAGATGAAGCGACCGAGGGAGTTATCTCTGTCTTCCAAGCTCCCGATCACCTCCCGAAAGTTTCAGCCCATTTGGAGACGGCAAATGACGACCGACTCCTGAATTCTGCGAAGGGATGGAGAATATCAGCCAACCTCCACAAAGAAAAAGAATTGTTTACAGACTGCAGGTCTGCCAGGGTGTGGTATATTCCCGGAGGAGGAGACCGGAACTGAAACTCGGATCATTCTACCTACTCGAGGGGGGAGAAGGTTCTCATGGTCTGTCGATCAAACGGAAAATTCTTGGAATAGAGGGGAATTTGAAGAGGAAAGCAGGTAGAACTCTCATGGAGGGCAGCAAGGCAGAGCAGCCTCAGGGGGGCTCTTTGAGAACGTCGTCTCGAGGGAAATCTCGACAGATCCGATCAGAGAACGGAAGCCCATCTGTTCTGAGGAGTTCCCTTCTGGAAGGACGAGTCGCAAGCAATAAGAGGATAGAAAGAAGTTGTGGGAGAGGAAGAAGAAGGAGAAGAACGATCTCGAAGGCCATGTTCTTGATGCGGTCTGTGATTGTATGGATATTTGATTGGCACTACCTGAGCGACGCAATACCCGAGCACGTGCACCAGCGACGACGAGGGAATTCCCTTCGGTTGTTTTTTCCCTCTCCTCTCCCTTCTCTCCGTCCGTTCCTCTCTCTCTCTCTCTCCTCTCTGCCGCTCCCTTTTCAGAGGAGGAGCTGTTCCGATGACAGAGAACCCATCAGAGATCTACTTGCTGAGAAGACCTAACAGCACAACTCTAGTAGAGAAGGAACACTTCTCTGGAACCTCCCTGTCAGAGAGCGCTCTCTCCCCCCCTCCCCCTCTCTCTCTCTCTCTCTCTCTCTCTCTATCTTTATCTCTATCTCTGTCTACAGCGTCCTTTCTCTCTCCCTATGCCCTCTGATCACCTCCAATGAAAAGGACGAATATAAAGAGTGGGGATAAAAAAAGGGCCGGGAAAAAAGGCTGCCTTTCTTTCGATTCCATTATCCGAAACCCCACACGAACTCACACCCACGAACGCCGCCCCCGCCGCCCCCTTACCCTTCTTCGTCGATTTCTTAAAAAAAGGACTTCTTTGCTGCCACACCCTAACGGAGGGACCAGCCTAATCTTATCCTACACCAACGGAGGACGAGCTTAACGAAAAACTCCACGGGGATTTGACTCTTCGCCTATGACTGGACGGACATGTAGTGAACACAATATATTATAACAGGAGGGAGTCTAGCAGGAGGAACATACAACTATGTCCTGTCGAGATCGAGAGAGAGAGAGAGAGAGAGAGAGAGTCTGCGCTAAACGGGAGAGACTATGATGGGGGTGTCAGACGGAACAAACTCGGATGAGGAACGAGGAGACGTCGACTTCCGAAGCCCATATAATTTAGGTTATTTGCAGGGGAGAGATGGTTTTATAAAAATGGGTAGTCAAGCCATATAATAAGAGGAAGGGGAAGCTCTCGTTCCCCTCCTTCCGTTTCCTTCCCGTAACGTCAAGCCAATGCATAAGGACGCCCATACGAGGCCGCCGGCTCTCGTTGTCTTTACTCTCCGTTCTTTATTCATCGCCCGTCATTTATTTTATCTCTCGGCAGTCTTCGCTTACTGCAACGTCCTGCTGTCTTTTGGATGTCGTCGTTGGATCCTGGAAACCGAAGCCTAAGCAATTGAAAGTTAAGGCAGGTTACCAACCACTCCCTGTTCCGCCTGCTCCGCTAGAGAGAGAGAGAGAGAGGTTAAGAAAATGCGTCGAAGACTGGCAAGGTGAGGAGGGGGTTTCTGCATTTACTTCTCTTCAGATTTCCCACTTGTTCAGAGGTGTTGTGTCCTCGTGACAGCCTGAAACATTCCGTGGTTCTGTTGTTGCCTCTTTGGCTACTGAGGACGAAAGAATGGCTGTCACTGGGATTCCGTTCCCCACCAGAAAAGAGCAGACCCAGAATTCACGTCTGAATTTGTTCTTTCTTAAGCCTTTTAGAGAGGGAGATAGAGAGAGAGAGTCCAATGCTCATTATAAGAATATGATCCGTGCCGGGCGATCCCATCAAATGGTGCCGAAAGGATCACCAACCCCGTCCCACGGCCGAAACCCAGTCTATATGTCCCTGGGCGTTCTTGTCGGTGCAGGCGCTTCTACTCCTCCAAGTATCGTGGCCATTAAGGCCTGTCCAGGGATTTCACCCGTAAGAGAGGGAGGGCACCCCGCAAACGCGCCGCCACGCCCGCCTCCGCATCCTGGCGGCCGTTGGTGGGACTCCCTCAGGCCATCGTACTTTCCAAGCCCCCCCCCCCCCCTGCGATGTGCAGTTCGTCCTTCCCATCTCCCTCTGTGTGTTTCATTTTCAACGCTGTCGCAAGGAGGAAAACGTGGACCTCGACTCTCCGGGGCATGATGCTAACAGCTTACACGGCTGTGCTTCTGCAAGTCCGAGGAGAGAAATAAAAGCATACGTGAGTCGTTCATCAATCTCGATCTTTGTGCACGTCCAATAAAATAGGGGAGGAAAGTACAAGACGGCGTATCACTGATGGATGATCCTGGCAGTGGCGAAGTGACTCAATCAGGGAGCAGCGGATAGATAGATAGATATACAGATAGGTATAGAGAGAGAGAGAGCTTAATATAGACTGCCTAACAGGGCCATGTCTTCAGATACATCAACTTCCTGATGATCATTGGGCACGTAGACTGCGAACACATGCGGCGCTTTCCATTTGCCACGCCATGCAGCTTGAGATTGATGCGTGGTAGTCTGACTATTTGTCCCCAATTTAGTGGATGTGGAACCTTTTCTTAGATCTGGGCACGTGGATGTTTCCTGACGGTTCGCAAAAGGAACCCTTGATTTGCCTCTCCAGGCCTACCGTTCCCTGGTGTTTTATTAATGCTCATCTTCATATTTTAATCAGGCTGATGACCGGATGGTTATTATCTTCACCCACTCCTAGCCCACTGTTCAGGGAGTTGACTATTCCTCGGAGCCCCTCTGGCATCAAGCCACCGCAAAACACTCCCGATAAGCATCGAAATAAGAGCACACTTGAATGATAATAATAGTAAGTCAGCTGTAGCCGAAAATAATATAATGCAATACTCCTAGACCTTTGAATGACTAAGCAGCGATTATGCTGCGCCACTGGATAACAAGACTACCTATCTAATGTTCTCCAACCGTTCCTTTTATGATTGGAAGAAGGAAGGCATTGCCGGGGCCCATGGTCGTGAAATATTGCGGATAATAATAACTAGTAGTTGGACGGCAGCGCGAATGGACCTAGAAGGCTTGAGGTGCAAGCGATCGACATCGACCGCTGATATGACCCCTCAAATGGGATTTTCGTGGACCAAGCCGCCGTTGGATGACCTCAACAATAGCCACTTCGATGGCTCCCACCCCCAACAAGGACGACTGGTCCCTCCGCCAGCGATGCAGATGGGCGTCGGAAGGTTGGTGGTGCGAGACTATCACATGGGAGGTGGGGTTGGCAGGTAGTGCGGTGAAACGGGCATGGAGATTAAGAGGAAAATGCATTTATATTCCGTATGTAATGCATCCAATGGTAGTATCCAAGGTTGGGGTTAAGTCTTATCTAGATAAATGGGATTTCTTGAAAATTATAGTCGATGGCACTTGGAAGAGATTCATTTAAGCAACGACCGCTGCGAGATCCCCCCCTCGGTCCCCTCCCTCGTAGAGAATGCGAACGGGGGGAGAGCTACCCGGGATTTCAGCTTCAATAATGTTTTCAAACACATCGAGGGATGAGGACGGGCGGAGGGGTATGCGGTCCTCTTGTGGGTACCATGCTTCAAAAGGATGCCGCCACCCGTTCGACGAATTGTCAGTGACGACGAGAAGACGGAGGATGAGATCAAAAAATAAGCAACAACTTCGCTTGGCCTCAGTGCACACGTCCACTCCTCATTCGGCGCGTTTATGAAGTTTGCTGATTCAACGCGCATTGATGAGGGTGGGGATCCTCTTCTCCATGCCAGCTAATCAACGTAAGGGCTGTCTCGGGATCGAATGAATCGGGAATGGAGCTCGCCAATAGTAGACGCTGGCGTTTTGGGGATTAGGAGGAGGTCATCGCCTCCAAATTGCCCTTTGATGGAGATTAAGAGGTGCACTCTATGGCAGATGACGGGCCCCATCACTTGATTTGCGAGGAAATGGGGGTGCACTTCTACGTCTCTACTATCTGACCACATGCTCCTGGCTTTCCTTCTCTGCCACAAATTCGTCTCCGGACGCAATCCCTCCTGGATATTCATCGTCTACTCCACCTCTCCCTGTTGAGAGTCAACAGCCACAATAAAATAAATCCCCCGCCCGAGCATTACTGTTTGCCCCCTTGTGCTCTTATCCCCCCTCCTACCCATCATCTGCCTCCCACCCTCCCATTCTCTCTCGCCCATTTTATCTCTTCCCATCTCCCTCTCCTCTTTTTGTCGATTCTCTCTCTCTCTCTCTCTCTCTCTCTCTCTCTCTCCCCTCGTAGCCTTCTCGAGGTCGGTGGAATTGACAAATACTAGTATAATGAAAACTGAAAAATAACTTGTTGGCTACAGTGGGTCTTCTGCTGAACCGACATTACTAGAGCTTAATATGAGGAAACAGTCGATCTTCGCCCTGAAACTGTGACGAATGGATGTGGCCAAGAGAAAACTAACACTTAAGTTACACGATGTAACGTTTGGTTTAATTAAAGGCCTTTTGGACTAATAAACAAGGCGAAGTTTATATGATGTTACGCAATAAATGTAGTAACCAAGCATTTATTCAGTCAAAACAATCAAGAGCAGAGATAGAAAGAACATTATAAACATATATTAATCTGAAGAGAGAAAAACAACATATAAGTTCACGGTTGGGCGGCTAAACTAGATGAATAGACATGTTTTAAATT